CAAATTTCGTGTCCTCTTCAAAGAGTCACTTTTGGGCATCGCAATTAATGCGATTTGCGCCAATTAAATCTCGAAAAGACATATTGACCCTTCCGATAGCCATTAGGTTTAGGTTTGCATCCATATAGTAACATCCAAATGTGATAAGTTTTTAGATTAAATTAAGAAAAATTTCCTACTAAATCACGCAACTGGCTCTAGTTAGGTTGAAAGGGTGCATTGGATTTTATTCTCGCTTTCCCTTTCTTCAAAAGTAGCTCCCAAACACTTTTCTCTGATTTTCGAAGATTCGGAGTCGTTTAAAAGGGGTTTTCTCTACTCTTTATTTGAAATTCATTTTAGGTGACTTGGTACATCTTAACTCAATACTAAGTGGCAACTCCCATTTTTTTTTCTTAAAAACCCTTTTTAAACTATTATTTTGGACCCAAATCGTCGCACTTCTAAGTCCTATTTTAGGCCCTTTTCTTTTTCTTTATTTTCTAAAAATAAAAAACTCATTTTCTTTCAAAATAAATTAAAAAATTCATTTTTATAAACTCGTAAATTTATTTTTCAAAAAATGGGGCGCGACAAATACAAAACTAATTTTATCTTAATCGTATAATTGTTGCAAGAGATAACAAGATAAGGAATAAGGATGAGGTACGCTAACAAATTTTTAGGTCATAATCAAAGGTTCTGCAATTAACTTCTCATCTTGGTAGGGTATGATTTGAATTCCCCATTGACTGTCTTGGAAATTCGAGTGTGATGAGACCAACTAATGAGAATTGTTGCAACTGTTTCACTTATTAGATGGAGGAAATTTAAAAAAGCAAAGTGAACCTGACCAAAACAACAGCGCATTCGAAAAAAAACTTTTTCTAAAAAGTCAAGACTAAACTAGAGCTTTAACCCTTGTTTGGTATGCGAGAACATCCAACATGGAAAGGTCTTTAAACCCAAACTATATTTCCACCTAGAGTGGCAGGGATTTAGTAGACAAGTCAAAATTTCGTATTTTATTATTCCAGGATTTAGTAGACAAGTCAAAATGAAATGTTAACTCAAATTTCAATGTTTGGTATAATTAATATTTAGCTAACAGAATAGAATAAACTAAATACAAATTTGACTTAATTGCCCTGGATTAGTTCATAGGACTTAATATGTCTTATTACTTTTTTATTTGTTGTATAATAGTATATGTCTATTTACATGAAATTTTTATATTTTTACTTCAAAAATAAATGAGGATTCTTTAACTGTAATACGTGATTCATTTTAGTGTATAGATTTTTAAGTTAAAATTTCGCATTTACTAGCAATGTAATTAGTAATATACAAGGATTGAGTTGCTAAAACTTAAAAGAGATAGAATTATGAGAAAAACTGATTTGAAAAGAGTTGGATATGAATATGAGCAAAAATTCAAGTATTTAAACAACCTTCATATCAGTTCAATTAGGCATGCCACTCAGGATATAGAAATGTGTAATTAAATTAACAACTTTCCTATATATATATGCACTTTCATTCGATAAGATTAGTTGTTGTTAAAACAATATCCTTATACTATATAAGAATGAGTTTAGAGTAAAGATGTTCTTTGGATTTTAACCGTAAGGTTAGGGCTATTCTGGGAATGTAAAAGTATTTGAAGTGTAATTGGAGTATTGAATACAAGTCATTATAGCTAATTTAGTTTTGTTGTAATTACTTAGATGTCCTTTTAGACATTTATAGCTAGGGGTGACAGATATCCGATTGAACACTAGGTATAACTAAATTCAACTTGTGTTTTAGTGAAATTACATAAAAGCCCTTCTAATCATTTAATTGTATTAACATCCAAGTCTCTTAATTTCCTAAAGCATTTCTCATCAGTTATTTGCAAACTTATGATATATAGATATTAAGACACAATTAATGCCAATTAGTAGAGAAGTTTGCTTTCTTGGCCGTTACCCCCATCTATTCAAATTCATTTCATTTACTTACAACTTTTTTCCATCACAATCATGTAGCCTATTAAATTCGGATGTTGCTACATTAGCTACTTCTCTTCCCCATTTTGCAACACCTTTCTCAATAGGTATATTTTCTTTAACCAATCTATTTTTTGGTTGTAAGAAATCTCAATAGGTATGTTTTCTTTAACCAATCTAATTTTTGGTTGTAAAAAATCTGTAATCTTGATGGTTGTATGTGCAATAATTTTTTAGTGTTTTAATTCAATTATCCATGTTAGATAGGCATGATTGGGAGGAGATCACATTTGTTAATTATTATTTGTGGTTTAAAGTAAGTTTATCATCATAAATTTTTCCATATGCAGATTGCATCTACTTTGGTTGTTTTAACTATTAGTTATGATAATTTTCAATTGTTTGTTATTTTATTGATGATTCCATTTAGGCAAAATTTTCACTTTATTTGATTTGCCAATAGGTTTAGCTATCTACTTAGAACTATTTGGCTGCAAATCTAAAGTATATACTTCATTATTTTTAATTGTTTTCTTGAATTGAGTGGTCTAAGATGTTTTAGTACTTTATTTGATGTGGTTATTCCTCTAAATTAGCATGTTAGTTGTTGTATATCTTTGCAACTAGATCAAAAACTGATGTGTAGTGATTGTAATCCCTATCGAGAAGGAGATGCTTTACTATATGTTCTAAATTATACAATAAATCATAATTGATTGATTGGTGAATATGGAGGTCTCATGATGATATGTTATTGGAATCAATATAAATTCAAGAATTTGGCTTGCAAGAACCGAAATTCCACTAGCAATAATTTTCTTCAAATATACTAATTGTTCAAATCTCACTTATATGACAAGATAAGGTGATAGACTGTCCTTATATTAAGATCGAATTCAAACTAAACAACAGATTTTAATATCCATAAAGTGCATGAGCAGATATAAGTAAGTTTTTTATTTTATTAGGTTAGGTGCAAAGTAGTTGATCATATCTTATAATTCTGTTTCATTACATATTAGTATATTTTTTAACTCAATATGTAACTTATGATTTTTCTGTTTAATATCATATATTAAAATTGTCATACTTCAATTCTTATACTATAAAATACCAAATAATAATTATTAATCATCTTTAATTATAGGCACTAAACTCCCGCGCATCGTGCAGGCTTTTCCCCCTAGTCATTAAGATAAGATTAGTTATTTTTTAAAGTTATTTTAAAATTAGAGATAATTTTTAAACATATAATATAATCCAAATAGGATTCAATATGGATAAAACCCAAGTGACTCATAACTGATTAATTCTCTTCAATTAGGCATGCCACGTAGGAGTGAGAAACAACTCTAATTAAAATAATTACTTTCATACCTGTTTATAGATGTCAGAGATTTACTGCTTAGGTAATCCAATCGAACGTCATATAAAATGGTAGTGCTTTTTTGAATATTAAAATGGTGGTGCTTTTTTGAATATTAAAATGGTAGTGCTTGACGCTTGGTCTTCCTTCATCTACTCCCAACAACCTATCATTTGGCTGTACTAAGATTGACATTGATTTTTCTTTTCTTTTTTTTTGGTTAATATCTACTATCCAGCGGGATCTTTTACCGGATATGAAATTGATTAATGGTTCACACCAAAATTGTATATAGCAGAAATTGTTTAGTATCAACATGTGCACTTGTAGACACCTGATAAATTACTATAATGCTCAAATGCCATATTCAGAATCAGTTTACAGAAGTACCTCTTCTTTGTGCTCAGGACCCTGGTAGAAGTAAAAGAGTACACATATGGATACAGAGGATGCAGACACGAAGAAAATGTACACTTGCTTGTTATATTTTCCCCCTAATTTTGAGTAAGTTTAGATATACTTTGTAGGCGCATGAAAATGGAGCCTTACAAATTGAGTTCTATCTAGAACAAACTTATTGATATAAATTTTATAATTTTTTTATATAAATTTGTACAATTTAGATGTGAATTTGAATTTGTTAACTTATATCAATAAGTTGGTAAAGTATTCATGATTACACCAAAAACAATACAAATTTACATTACATGTAATAACTAATAAGAATTTTTTTAATATTAAAAAAAGCACTACCATTTTTTTTTTTTAACAATGGCAGGGGTAGGGCGGGGGAGGGGCTGCTACCCACTAATTCCCCCACCTTCACCTTGTCCCCTACCCGCTTCCCCCATGGGGGTACCCGCGAGATTAATAAAAATTTGTTATATAATTTTATTGTAGTCAAAATTTAGCAAAGAATGAAGTATTTAAATACTAAAACATCACCAAGTTATTATCCATTGTAATTTCACAATTGAAACCCATAAAAACAATCAAACAAAAGTTATTTGAATATAATCCTACATAATGAGATAAATACAATTAAAGTAGCCAAGTTTTCACTTTTAAGACAAATACAATCACTAAGTCATTATTGTATTTTTTTTTGAGAAAAAAAGTGTTATTGTATTAAGTGTAATTAGGAATTTAGTATAATTATATTAGTAAATTTAATATAACTAATTTCTATTAGTAGGCATGTGCAATTATTCATATAATTGATAATATTAATTATATTATATATACTAATATATATTATAAGTTTGTAACTATATATACATATAAATAAGTTTTTTAATTAGTGGCGGGGCAGGGATTGGGTAGGGGTATACTCCCCCATTCCCCGCCCCATTTTTTAATGGGGAAAAAAAATTCCTCCGCCCCATTAGCCCGCCATGGACACCCGGTCCAATTGCCATTTGGATCCTAATTGTACCAATTAGGAGATTGGTGTTGCTAATTAAATACAAACATGTGTTTTGGTAGTTAAAGAAAAGGAAACTGGAAAACATTAGCTGCCCACAAGCTTTTGCTCGTCGAGGCTGATTGATCATTCATTTTTTTAATAGGTCGTCGTCAGTACAATAGGAAAAATTATTGCAACGTGGTTCATATGAATCCCATACCCCGCCTATAAATTGCTAACTAGATCTAGTAGCAATTCACACGGCCAAAAAGAAACAATCCTAGAATCTCAAAAAAAATGGATTTTGCTAGAAATGGTGACCATACTGGTGAGCTTTTTCAAGCTCAAGCTCACATATGGAACCATCTATTCAACTTCATAAATTCCATGTCCCTCAAATGTGCAATTCAATTAGGCATTCCAGACATTATTCACAAACATGGCCAGCCAATGGCCCTTGCTCAATTGATCGATGCTCTTCCCATCAATAATGCAAAAGCACCTTTTGTTTATCGCCTTATGCGGATTCTAATCCACTCGGGATTCTTCATCAAAGCAAAGATTCCCGATAATGAAGGCCACGAGGGGTATGCACTCACTTCCGCTTCGAAACTTCTACTAGCAAATGACCCTTTTAGCGTGACACCGTTTCTACTTGCCATGCTTGATCCAATCTTGACTGATCCATGGCACCATTTTAGCCAGTGGTTTCAAAACAGTGAAGAAACCCCATTTCATACCTGTCATGGGACATCAATGTGGGAGCTTGCAGGTCGCCAACCGCAGCTAAACCAGTTTTTTAATGAAGGCATGGCTAGTGATGCCCGGTTGGTTTGTACCATGGTTATCAAGAACTGTAAGGATGTTTTTATGGGGCTGAATTCGTTGATTGATGTCGGAGGTGGAACTGGAACTGTGGCCAAGGCTATAGCTGATGCTTTTCCTCATCTGAAATGCTCTGTGCTTGATCTTCCTCATGTTGTTGATGGCTCGGAAAGTAGTAAGAACTTGGCCTATGTTGGAGGTGACATGTTTGAAGCCATTCCTCCTTCAGATGCTGTTTTATTGAAGGTATAAATCAATCAGGCATGGTTTATTGGTTCAATAACTAGCTTTTTGGAGCTTGTTTAATTTTTTTGTACTTTGCTTCAGTTCCCACTATTAAACTTCACCTGCTAAAGAGACAACTGTCAACTTCAAGTGAACAAGAAATATGCTTAATTGGAAACTGCACCATGAAGAAAAAAGGATAAACAAGTTTTAACAAGTACAATATCAATACCCTTTTTTTTGTTTTTAATTTCTTAAGATAGGATCTAGTACTGCTAGTCGTATCTTATGATTAATTAATAGAGCAAATTGTGTTTCATGTCCTCCGGAATAGTCAAGTTATGGTTTCCACGTTCAAAAATGAAATTTTATACAATGGAGTGATACATCTTTGCCCCTTGTGTATGTGATCAAACATTATATCACCTTGTTACTCTTCATACACTAAACTTGGTGATACTTTTTATGTTTTTGTTGATTGATAAAAATAACGACAGTCTTGCTTTTTATCTTCTCCCACACTCTCTATCATTTTGTTTTAATTAATCATTTTATTCAATAAATTTCACATGGGATATATATGAGTTTTCTGACAAACTCTTCAATGCTTTTATGATGCTATTGGCAGTGGATATTGCATGATTGGAGCGATGAGGAATGTGTGCAAATACTTAGGAAATGTAAAGAAGCAATTCCTAGCAAGGAAAAGGGAGGCAAGGTGATAATTATCGACATGCTGCTGAAAAGCCCGCAAAATGGAGATGATGATGATGATAATGCGGAGGCTATTGAAACCCAATTGTTCTTTGATATGCTGATGATGGTTCTGGTCAAAGGAAGAGAAAGAAATGAGAAAGATTGGGCAAAGCTTTTCTTTGAGGCAGGCTTCAATGGTTATAAGATAACTCCTGTACTGGGCTTGAGATCTATCATTGAGGTTTATTATTATTAATAAGTTTCTTGCACTTTGTTTGTGCTAAAGAGTGATGGATCTACGTTCAAGGCCTTCAAAATAAGTTTCCTTAAGCATGGAACATATGTTTGATGCTATGATTTGTAGTACCAAAATATGTGGATTAATTTAATTGTGAAGGAAGTATAACTCTATTAATCTTCAAATGATCTGATGGTATAGAATTGTCAACCTAAACTGCAAAACACATTATACTCTTATTGGATTAATTTTCTATACACTCACATTTTCACCGTTAGATGCATGAAACATAATCCAAATTTGAATTTGAAATTCAAATTTTACATATGTGTCGTATATCCAATCGTGATAATGTATGCACCGTCAATGTATATAAGATTTACTCTTATTTATTTTCAAATATCATCCATTAGTTCTTCATAACAACATTTGGGCTGCTTTTAAGGGTTATTATCACTTTACCCCCTTAAACTATATTACTACTATCGGTTTATCCCCTAATGTTATCTTTTAGTCACTTTATCCCCATAATTCAACTTAATATGTTAAGAAATTTTGGACAAAAATACCCCTTTATTTTATAGCATTACTAAATTATTATTATCACTTTATTCGTTTGGATTATAGTGATACAATAATTTTAGTTCCTAATATTATTTTATAGACATTTTATCTCATCATTAATCTAACTAGTATGGTCAAAAAATTTTAAATATATTTACCCTTCTTTATATATAATTAAAAATAAAAAATTTGGAATGGTTATTCTTCCTTTTTTGTCACTTTAAGAGATCGAAAAATATAAAAATAAAAGGATTTTCTCAAATTTCTTTTTTTACACTTATTAAGACTAGGAAAAGGAAAAGAGATAGGAAAGAAGGAGACAAAAAATTAGATTTTGTGAAAAAAGAAAATAAAGAAACGTCTAATATTATCGTATTACTTTAAGGTTGTCGGGATTAGAATTAGAATTTGGTGATAAACAAAAATGTGAAATAATTTTAAAATAATAAAAGTATTTAATTCTTTCTTATTTGTAATTTTTAAAAAAAGAATTGAGCTCTCTCTCTCTCTCCCCCTTCCCTCCCCTTATTTCTATTTTTTTCAATATTAATAAAATTTCCAAGAAGAAAGAAATTAATACTTTGACTTTTTTTGTTGATATTAAAAGGAGAAGAATCCCTCTAAATTTTTTGTGATTTTTATTATGCAAAGAGGAGGATATTTTCTTCTAAAGTTTTTTAACTTGCTAAGTTGGTTTAATGGCAGGATAAATTGCCTAAAAAAATAATTCTAGATAGTAAATTGATAATGAAACTATATTTTATGGGGGTAAAGTGATAATAATTTTAAGAGTTAAACATGTCTTTTCACTTTAATTAACAAACTCCGTTAAATTTGACCGTTAGTTTTGGGGGTAAAGTGACTAAAAGATAACATTAAGAGGGAATTGATAGTAGCACAAAATGTTAAGGGGGTAAAATGATAATAACCCTGCTTTTAATTATTTTACACAATTATGATGCTGACAACTTATGACGGGAAAGAAGACTATTTTAAGCAATCTCAGAAAATAAAAGTTTTAAGAGGATAGAATTCTTTTAACATCAACTCATAAGATATTCTACGCTAATAGAATTTACTGCACAGAAATGACCATTAATTCTTCTGCAATCAGGATTCTTGCATTAATCATCAATTTTTACAGTAACCCAGAAGTACACAAGAGCTAAACAGCTAAATAACTTGAGGTGGAGAAATACAGGAATTTCTTATCCTGAAGTAGAAACAGACCTGAGCAATATCGGTGACGAATATAATGGTCTAAATTGAGAGTATGCAAGCCAGCATCTCTCTTGATGTGTCTAGCAATTGGTTTAGAGATTTGCTTTCCAAGGCAAATATTTCTAGCTTTGCTACTGGGAATATCATTACTTCTACTCTACAAAAAAAATTAGGGTTAATCACAATTTATCCCCTTAAAGAATACCCCATTTCTCAGTTTACCCCATAACCTTTAATTTTGCTCACTTAACCCCCTTTAGGACAAAATTGCCCTTGCATTATTTTGACTTTTCATTTACCTTATTTTCCTTTCTTTTATTTCTTTTTCTCTTTCTTCTTTATTTAATTCTTCCTCTTTTCGACAAAAATCTTCACCTTAATGATTGAAATTAAAAAAGAGGAATTGCAGAGATCTATCTTCTCCTTAAATGATTAAAAAAATATTCAAATCACTTTCCTAAAATACAATTTTTTTAGCCTTTCAATTCTTTTAATTTTGAGTTTTTCTCTTTCGTTTCTAGTTTTTCATTTTATTCTCAAAAAAATATCATAAGATGAAATTGTTTTCCTTTCTTTTATTTCTTTTTCTTTTTCTTCTCTCTTTCATCCTTTCCAATAGAAATTCCATTTCAACGAAAATTTTTGTTTTGAATTTATAATTGCATATTTCTGGGTGAAGGTTTAAAAGGCATCAAAAACTAATTTTGATTTTTGGTATGATGCCACGTGTCACAAATTTCAATTGATGATTATTAATCAGGTCACAATTTCATCTTAAGATATTTTTTTGGAAACAAAATGAGAAACTAGAAAGGAAAGAAGAAAATCCAAAATTAAAAGAATTGAAAGGCTAAAAAAATTGTATTTTAGGAAAGTGATTTGAATATTTTTAATCATTTAAGGAGAAGATAGATCTCTGCAATTCCTCTTTTTTAATTTCAATCATTAAGGTGAAAATTTTTGTGGAAAAGAGAAAGAATTAAATAAAGAAGAAAGAGAAAAAGAAATAAAAGAAAGGAAAACAAGATAAATGAAAAGTCAAAATAATGCAAGGGCAATTTTGTCCTAAAGGGGGTTAAGTGAGCAAAATTAAAGGTTAGGGGGTAAACTGAGAAATGAGGTATTCTTTAAGGGGATAAAATATGATTAACCCAAAAAATTATGAACTTGGAATAATATCCATGCACTTGGGATTTGTCCTGACCATTTTTTTTTTTTTTTTTGCTGGCAACGATAACATTTGTATAATCTAATCTATCATATTCTAAAGGAAGGAAGAAAGTCTAAAAAGACCGTGTAAGGAGTTAGCAGGTATACAGACTTGATTAGATCAAAGTAACCCAAAGAGGAGCTTAAGTCTTTTTTTGGTGGCGACTAAACTTTTTGTCCTGACCAGTGAAGCTGAATTATGTGAAAAAGCATTAAGGCCCACCAAATGTTGGATTTTTGGACTGAAACAAAACAGTGATTTTGAGGAGGACTAGTGGTTTAGTGTGTGTCTAAAAGCTGAAGAAGTATTAAAATGAGGGATGTAAGTTAAGTTGTGTAACACTAAAACAGTTTAAAGCGTTTGACGGATAAACTTGTAAGTGAGCCAGCCTTGTTCTTGGTGCGTCATGCAATGTGAGAGATTCATTTGGATTCCTATTATTTTTGGACATTATTTGGAGAAAAAGGAGAAATCATTTGAAACACTTGCCCCTCATATTTGGTTAAATGAATTTTTTTCGCCACACACTTTTAAAATGTTAATTTTACCTCCTTTATAAATCATATATATATAATAAAGTCGTATTCTCATTCTTATTCCTTCATGTTTTCTCTTTCCTACGTGGCTTAACGAGACGGTAAGTAGTTTCCTAATAGGATTCTTAATAAATCATATATATATATATATATATATATATATATATATATATATATATATATAATAAAGTCTTATTCTCATCTTTTTCCTTTTAGTTTATCTCTTTCCTACGTGGCTTATTGACATAGCAAGTAGGTGCAACGCGCTCTATGAGTTAACTCCCTAATAACCTACGTTATTCTATCTCTCTTTTTTCTCTTGACTTTACAATTCTAGATAATCCTTCCATAATTATCTCTTCTATTCTCTCACCTTTTTTTCCTTTAACCCTAATCGTCAAGCCTAAATTTTCAGGGGATTAGTATAAATAATTTTGAATTATGTTTTTAACTCTCTCTCATCTTCAACTCAAAAGTTTGAAATATCAATTCAAATATTAGATTATCTTTATCAGATTATCGCTATCAAAGATACTCTACATTTTTACTCATATATATGGTTATCGATCTATTACTTATCACTTTATCAAGCAGTGCAGATGTTTACACTTTTCCACAATGTTTTTGGAAATTTTTTTTTTCAATGCAAGGACCGGATTTGAAACTTTGTTTTTATTCCCTTCAATGCAAGGACCGCATTTGGACTTTGTTTATGCTCGCTGTACGTGGTCTGTAATTTCCTACACCTTTTTCATAGCTAGGTCATTGAATTTGAATTTTTTAACTCTTCAAAAGTTACAGTTTGGTTTTTATTTCTGGCAAGGTTTTTGTAATTAATTTGTTATTTCAATTTATGGATTCACTCTTCAATTTAAGTAGAACACATATTGCTTTTTTGGTTAGTGATTTAGAAGTGGCCTTTTAAACTATGTGTTTTCACACGATTTTTTAATTGCCTTTGACAATTTATTAATTGTCTTCAACAACGTATTAATTTTTTTTTATTTTCTGGTTTCTGGGATTAAAAAAAATTTGTGCAATTTTCAATGTTTTTTTTTAGACTTTGATAGAAAGTTTCTAAAGAACAAGAAGGTGTCATTGATTACATAAATGGCAAGGCATCAAGTTCATTGTCATACAGCAGTTCACGTCATGCAATATACATCAGACTATTTAGATTTTTTATGTTTTTGACTTAATAGCAAAATACATCTTATGTTTTCGTTTTGGTTTCTATTAGCCATGAACAGATTTAGAAGGTTGCTATGTTCCTGTGATTTGATTGATTCTGAATTATTATCTTTTATTAATATTTCACTCAGCTTCTTTTCTTTTCACATTAACCTTTAAGCCATTTATATTAAATACCAAAATTGATGTTTTGGTAACGGGTTGGCCATTCTTTTGTTTACAGAAGATTAGCCAAGATTTGATCTTCCTTATTTTCAAGTTTTTGAATGTCATCATATTGTCGATTTTTTTTTTCCATTTCGAATTATTAATCACTGAATTAGATGTTTAAATATACATTATAAGACTATTTTTTAATAACAATGTATTTAAGAAAGGTTATAATAGATTATACAATAAGTTTGTATTTTATGAAAATATTTTTATGAAC